TCCTCCCCCCATTCCCCAGTTTCCCCATCCCATGTTCCCACAGGTCCCACCAATGGAACATCTCCCCCAGGGGCTGCAACTGTCACTTAATTGGGGTCAAGGACCCCCATACCCCCCCCGGTTGCCCCCCCCAGATCTCCTCTGGTTGCTGGTCATAGCAGTCATAGTGGTCATGGTCTCCTTGCCCAGCACATGCTGCAGGAAGATGCTGGAGGCCCTGGATCCCATTGGATGTGTCCCCCGTTCCCAGGAGCTGGAGCATCCTGGAGGATGGAGATGGGACGTCCCAGCCCCAGGGACCCACCCCAGCTGGGTGCCACCATTGTCCCGTTCCCATCCCAAGCTCATCCTGATGGACAGGACCAGGGACATCCCATCACCTGGGGCTCATCCCTCCCCATCCCAAGCCCATCCTTACGGACAGGACCAGGGACATCCCATCACCTGGGGCTCATCCCTCCCCATCCCAAGCCCATCCTGACGGACAGGACCAGGGACATCCCATCACCTGGGGCTCATCCCTCCCCATCCCAAGCCCATCCTCAAGGATGGAGCTGAGGCATCCCAGCACCCGAGCTCCTTCCTGATGGACATCCCTGCCCCATCCCTCTCCATCCCCACTGCGGTGTCCCCATGGGGGGTGCAGCATTTCGGGGTCCCCTCCAACACCCCACAGGGTGCCCCCCCTGCTCCTCTTCCCCCCCCCCCCGCCCCACAGACGCACCTCCCCTTCCCCCCCCCCCAGTGCAGGGGGGGGGGGGCTGGCGCCGCTCCCCCGTTATCGCACGTTCCGATCGTGCCATGGGGCCAGGAACATGGGAAGGGCCAGGACGAGCCCCGATCCTGCTCCGGATCCATCCTCATCCCCCACGGATCCATCCTCATCCTCCTATGGCCCCCCAGCACCCCCCCGATCCATCCTTATCCCACCCTGGATCCATCCCTGCTCTGGATTCATCCCCCTGGATCCATTCTCACCCTGCCCCCCCCCCCCCCCGATCCATCCTTATCCCCCCCGGATCCATACTCATCCTGCTCTGAATCCATCCTCATTCCCCCTGGATCCATCCTCATCATCCCCCCCCCCTCCCGATCCATCCTTATCCCCCTCCTGGATCCATCCTCATCCTCCTATGGCCCCCTGGCACCCCCCAATCCATCCTCATCTCCCCCAGATCCATCCTCATCTTGCTCCAGATCCATCCTCATCCTCCTATGGACTCCCTGGCAACCCCCAATCCATCCTTCTCTTCCCCTGGATCCATCCCTATCCTGCCCTGCATCCATCCTCGTCCTCCTATGGACCCCCCCATCTGCCCTGGATCCATCCTCATCGTCCTATGCCCCCCCCAGCACCCTCCTGGTCCATCCTCATCTTCCTCTGGATCCATCCTCATTCTCCTATGGACCTCCTGGTACCTCCCGATCCATCCTCATCTTCCCCTGCATCCATCCCCATCCTCCTATGGACCCCCCCATCCTCCTCCCATGGGGCAATGGGAGGCAGTGTTGGAAGGGGGGGGCAATTGGTGGCGATGGGGTTGCAATGGGGGTAAATGGAGGGGGAGATGGAGCCAATGGGAGGCAATAGTGGGCAGCAGTGAGCAATGGGGAGCAATGGGGGGTAGTGGGAGGCAATGGGGAGCTGTGGGGGGGCAATGGGGTGCAATGGGGAACTGTTGGGGGCAATGGGGAGCTGTGGGGTGGCAATGGGGTGGCAATCGGGAGCTGTGGCAGGGCAGTGGGGTGGCAATGGAGAGCTGTGGGGGGCAATGGGCTGGCAATGGGGAGCTGTGGGGGGCAATGGGGAGCTATAGGGTGCAATGGGGTGCAATGGGGGGCTGTGGGGGTGAATTTGGGGTGGATTCGGGAGGCCCCACCACTTTGGGGGAGGGGGGGCTCCCGGGGGAGCTCCTGCAGGTCCCAGCCCTGCCGCAGCCTGGCCCTGGGGGGGGTTGGAATGTGCTGGGCTGGGAATTCCCCCTGATAAGAGGAACTGGGCGGGACTGGGACGGGATCGGGGATGGAGCCGGGATGGGGGGGGGGATGCAGTCAGGTCCCCCCTGAGCCTTCTCTTCTCCATCTGAACCCCCAGGTCCCTCAGGTCCCCATCACCCCTGTGCTCCAGGCCCTGCTCCAGCCCCATTGCCCTGCTCTGGCCCCGCTCCAGCCCCTCAATGTCTCTCTTGCAGTGAGGGGCCCAGAGCTGAGCACAGGGTTCAAGGTGCAGCCTCACCAGTGCCCAGTGCGGGGGCACAATCCCTGCCCTGGCCCTGCTGCTGCACTGGTGCTGAGCCAGGCCAGGATGCTGGGGGCTGCCTGGGCACAAGTGCTCCTGCTCAGCTCCATCCATCCCGATCCTTTCCCAGGAGCAGCTTCCACTCTGCCCCAAGCCTGGAGCGTTGCAGGGGGACCTGGGTGGGTTCTGGATGGGTTCAGTGGGTCCTGGTTGGGTTCTGAATAGGTTCTATTTGGGTCCTGCTAGGGTTCAATGGGTCCTGGTTGGGTTCTGGATGGGTTCAATGGGTCCTGGTTGAGTTCTAGCTGGGTCCTGGTTGGGTTCTGAATAGGTTCTAATTGGGTACTGGTGGGGTTCAGTGGGTCCTGGTTGGGTTCTGGATGGGTTCTGGATGGGTTCAATGGGTCCTGGTTGAGTTCTAGCTGGGTCCTGGTTGGGTTCTGAATAGGTTCTAATTGGGTACTGGTGGGGTTCAGTGGGTCCTGGTTGGGTTCTGGATGGGTTCTGGATGGGTTCAATGGGTCCTGGTTGAGTTCTAGCTGGGTCCTGGTTGGGTTCTGAATAGGTTCTAATTGGGTCCTGGTTGAGTTCTAGCTGGGTCCTGGTTGGGTTCTGAATAGGTTCTAATTGGGTCCTGGTTGGGTGAGTGGGTTCTGGTTGGGTCCTGGTTGAGTTCTAGCTGGGTCCTGGTTGGGTTCTGAATAGGTTCTAATTGGGTCCTGGTTGGGTGAGTGGGTTCTGGTTGGGTTCTGGATGGGTTCAATGGGTCCTGGTTGGGTTCTGAATAGGTTCTAGTTGGGTCCTGCTAGGGTTCAGTGGGTCCTGGTTGGGTTCTGGATGGGTTCAATGGGGCCTGGTTGAGTTCTAGCTGGGTCCTGATAGGGTTCCAGTTGGGTTCAATGGGTCCTCTTTGGAGGATTGGGTTGTGGATGGGTTTGATAGGACCTGGTTAGGTTCTTATTGGGTCCTGGTTGGGTTCTGATTGGGTCCTGGTTGGGTCCTGATTGGTCCTGGTTGGGTCCTGATTGGGTCCTGGTTGGGTTCAATGGGTTCCAGTGCTCCTGGTTGCTCCTGGATGGGTTCAATGACTCCTGGATGGGTCCTAGTTGGGTTCAATGGGTTCTGGATGGGTTCTGGTGGCTCCTGGGTGGGTTCAATGGGTTCCAGTGCTCCTGGTGGCTCCTAGATAGGTCCTGGTTGGGTCCTGGTTGAGTCCTGGATGGGTTCAATGGGTTCTGGTTGGTTTCAATGGGTTCTGGCTGCTCCTGGATGGGTTCAATGGGTTCTGGCTGCTCCTGGATGGGTTCAGTGGCTCCTGGTTGGGTTCAATGGGTTCTGGTTGGGTTCAGTGGGTTCTGGTTGGGTTCAGTGGGTTCTGGATGGGTTCGATGGGTTCTCGCTGCTCCTGGATGGGTTCAGTGGCTCCCGGTTGGGTTCTGGTTGGGTTCAATGGGTCCTGGTTGGGTTCAATGGGTTCTGGTTGGGTTCAGTGGGTTCTGGTTGGGTTCAATGGTTTCTGGTTGGGTTCAATGGGTTCTGGTTGGGTTCAATGGGTTCTGGTTGGGTTCAGTGGGTTCTGGTTGGGTTCAGTGGGTTCTGGCTGCTCCTGGATGGGTTCGATGGGTCCCGGTTGGGTGCCGGTGCCTCCCGGCCGCTCCGAAGGGGTTAACCCGAGGCAGGTGCCGCTCTCCCGGCCCGAGTCCCTCCCACCCCATCCCATTCTCCTCCTCCCGCTCCTGGATGCAAACCCGGAGCCTCCCCAGCCGGGCCTGCCCGTCCCGTCCTGCCTGTCCTGCCAGCACCGCCCCCATTCCTGCCTCATTCCAGCCTCTTTGCCGGCTCCCGACCTCTCCGCAGCTCCTTTCCTGCTTCCCGGCCTCGGTCCAGCCTCCTCGCAGCCCCTTTGCCGGCTCCTGACTTCATCCCAGCTTTATTCCAGCCTCCTTCCCTGTATCCCGACCTCATTCCTACCTCTCTGTAGCCCCTTTCCCATCTTCCAACCTTCCAGCCTCCTTCCCTGTATCCCGACCTCCTTCCAACTTCCATCCTCCTTCCAGCCTCTTTTCCTCTATCCCCACCTCATTCCAACCTCCTTCCAACTTCTTTTCCTGTATCCCGGCCTCATTCCAGCTTTCTTCCAATCTCTTTTCCTGTTTCCCGACCTCATTCCAACCTCCTTGTAGCCCCTTTCCCATCTTCCAACCTTCTTCCAGCTTCTTTTCCTGTCTCCCAACCTCATTCCAACTTCCTTGTAGCCCCTTTCCCATCTTCCAACCTTCTTCCAGCTTCTTTTCCTGCCTCCCGACCTTCTTCCAGCTTCCTTTCCTGTATCCCAACCTCATTCCAACTTCCTTGTAGCCCCTTTCCCATCTTCCAACCTTCTTCCAGCTTCTTTTCCTGTCTCCCAACCTCCTTCCAGCTTCTTTTCCTGTATCCCCACCTCATTCCAACTTCCTTTCCTGTATCCCAACCTCATTCCGACCTCCTTGTAGCCCCTTTCCCATCTTCCAACCTCCTTCCAGCTTCTTTTCCTGTATCCCGACCTCATTCCAACCTCCGCGTAGCCCCTTTCCCATCTTCCACACTCTTTTCCTGTATCCCAAGCTCCTTTCCCATCTCCCCCCCAGGCTCTTTGCCTGCTCCCAAGCCCATTCCCAGCCCATTCCCAGCCCGTTCCCAGCCCGTTCCCAGCCCGTTCCCACCCCGTTCCCAGCCCGTTCCCAGCCCGTTCCCAGCCCGTTCCCAGCCCGTTCGCCGCCCGTTCCCCATCCCCACCTCTCCCCATGTCCGTCTCCATCCCCCGGAAGCCGCTGCGGAGCAGCTCGGCCGCCCCGGGCCGCTCCTTCACCTCCCGCTCCTGCTCGGGGCTGCTCCTGCGCTCCGGGGCCGCCCCGGGCTCCGGGGGCGGCATCGCCTCGGTCACGGTGAACCGGAGCCTCCTGCGGCCGCTGGAGCTGGGGCTGGAGCCGGGGCTGCCGGAGCTGCGGCGCCAGGAGCAGGAGCAGATCAAGGACCTCAACAACAAGTTCGCCTCCTTCATTGACAAGGTGGGGATGGGGTGGAACGGGATGGGGTGGGGTGGGATGGATGGGATGGGATGGGATTGGGTGGGATGGGTTGGGATGGATGTGATGGGATGAGGTGGGATGGGATGGACGGGATGGGATGGGAGGGACAGGGATGGGATGGGATGGGATGGGATGGGATGGATGGGATGGGATGGGATGGATGGGATGGGATGGATGGGATGGAATGGGATGGGATGGGATGGATGGGATGGGATGGATGGGATGGGGTGGATGGGATGGGATGGGATGGGATGGGATGGGATGGATGGGATGGGATGGGATGGGATGGGATGGATGGGATGGGATGGGGTGGATAGGATGGATGGAGGTGATGGATGGGATAGGATGGATGGATGGATGGATGGATGGGATGGGTGGATGGATGGGGTGGGGGATGGATGGATGGATGGATGGGGATGGGGTGGATAGGATGGGATGGGAGGCGATGGGATGGGAAGGGATGGGATGGATGGGATGGGATGAGATGCGATGGGGCAGGATTGGATGGGATGGGATGGATGAGATGGGATGGGACCACCACCCCGCCCCCTGGGGACATCGGGGGGGGGGTCCTGAGCCCATCGGGGACCTCTGGAGCCCTTTAAATCCATCCTGAGCCCCTTGGGGACATTGGGAACCCCTTGGGGACCACCTGAGCCCTTTAGATCCATCCTGATCCCATTGGGGACATTGGCACCCTCTTGGGGACCTCTTGAACCCCACAAGGATCTGCAGTCGTCCCCCCCCAGCACCATCTATGGGGGCACCCCCATCCCCTCCCACTGCTGGGGATGTGGTCCTGCCCCCCCCACCACCCCCGGGGTGCAGTGGGGACCCCCCGATGGGAGGGGTGCAGGATCCCCTGGGGGCCCCCTCAGGCTGCACCCAGCACCCCAGGACTGCTCCCAGAACCCCCTGGATGGCGCCCAGGACCCCAAAGTTGCCCCCAGGACCCCAGATTCTGCCCCCGGCCCCTGGATTTCATCCAGGACCCCAGTTTTTGCTCCCAGGACCCCAAATTCCCCACCAATGACCCCCAGTTTCCCCCCATTGACCCCAATTCCCCCCCATTGACCCCAATTACCCCCAATGGCCCCAATTCCCCCCCATTGACCCCAATTCCCCCCTTTGGACCCCAATTCCCCCCATTGACCCCAGTTCCCCCTGGACCCCAATTCCCCCCATGACCCCAATTCATCCCCCCATTGACCCCTATCCCCCCCCATTGACCCCAATCCCCCCCCTTAGGACCCCAATTCCCCCCCAATGACCCCAATTCCCCCCATTGACCCCAATTCCCCCTTAGGACCCCAATTCCCCCCTTAGGACCTCAATTCTCCCCTTTAGGACCCCAATCCCCCCCCAATGACCCCAATTCCCCCTTAGGACCCCAATTCCCCCTTGACCCCAATTCCCCCCTTGACCCCAATTCCCCCTTTAGGACCCAATCCCCCCCCAATGACCCCAATTCCCCCCCCATTGACCCCCATTGACCCCAATCCCCCCCCAGGTGCGGCTCCTGGAGCAGCAGAACGAGCTCCTTGGCACCAAGTGGGCGCTGCTGCAGGGGCGGGCGCAGGGACCCCGCGGCCCCGGCCCGGCCGCGCTGCTCCAGAGCTACAGCGAGGGGCTCCGGCGGCAGCTGCAGGGGCTCGGGGAGCAGCGGCGCCGCCTGGAGGAGGAGCTGGGAAGTGCCCGGGAGCTGCTGCGGGACTGCAAGGGGCGGTCAGAGCCTATGGGGGCTATGGGGGGGACATAGGGGACATGGGGACATAGGGACATAGGGGGGCTATGGGGGACAGGGGCGGTCAGTGCCCATGGGGGCTATGGGGGGGTTATGGGGGACAGGGGGACATAGGGACATAGGGGGCTATGGGGGACATAGGGGAGATATATACATCTCCATGTCCCCACATCTATATGTTCCCATATCCCCGTGTCCCATATCCCCATATATCCATATCCCCATCTCCCACATCCCATGTTCTCATATCCCCATGTCCCACATTCCCATATCCCATATCCCCACGGTCCCATGACCCCATATCCCACATTCCCATATCCCCATGTCCCCATATCCCCATGGTCCCCTGACCCCATATGTCATAACCAATATCCCCATATCCCACCTCCCCACATCCCCACCTCCAAGCCCTCTCCTCCTCCCCCAGGTATGAAGAGGAGATCAACCACCGCACCGAGAAGGAAAATGAGTTTGTGCTGCTCAAGAAGGTGGCGCTGGGGACAGGATCGGGGTGATGGGATGGGGGTGATGGGATGGGGGTGATGGGATGGGGGTGATGGGATGGGGGTGATGGGATGGGGATGATGGGATGGGGGTGATGGGATGGGGGTGATGGGATGGGGATGATGGGATGGGGGTGATGGGATGGGGGTGATGGGATGGGGATGATGGGATGGGGGTGATAGGATGGGGATGGGATGGGGGTGATGGGATGGGGATGATGGGATGGGGATGATGGGATGGAGGTGATGGGATGGGGATGATGGGGATGATGGGATGGGGATGATGGGATGGGGGTGATGGGATGGGGGTGATGGGATAGGGATGACAGGGATGGGGGTGATGGGATAGGGATGACAGGGATGGGGATGATGGGATGGGGCTGATGGGATGGTGGTGACAGATGGGGGTGATGGGATGGGGGTGATGGGGTGATGCTGACGGGATGGGGGTGCCCCCGGGCGCAGGACGTGGACGAAGCCTACATGAGCAAGGTGGAGCTGGAGGCGCGGCTGGAGAGCCTGACCGACGAGATCAACTTCCTGCGGCAGCTCTATGAGGAGGTGGGGGCGCACCGGGACCCCCTTGACCCCCATAACCCCCCCATGTCCCTGCCCCCCCCTAACCCGCCCCGTGCAGGAGCTGCGGGAGCTGCAGCGCCAGGCCCCGGGCACGGCCGTGGTGGTGTCCATGGACAACGGGCGCAGTCCGGACCTGGCCGCGGTCCTGGCCGCCGCGCGCGCCCACTACGAGGACATCGCCGCCCGCGGCCGCGCCGAGGCCGAGGCCCGGTGCCAGGGCAAGGTGAGAGCGGGGGGGGGGGATGGGGGTGATGGGAGGGGATGGGGGGGATGGGGGTGATGGGGGCCAAGGCTCCGTGAGCCCCTGGGTGAGTGATCCCATGGTGCCGTGATCCCATGGTCCCATGCTCCCATGATCCTGTGATCCCATGGTCCCATAATCCCATGGTTCCATGATTCCATGGTCCCATAACTCCATGCTCCCATGATCCTGTGATCCCATGGTCCCATCCTCCCATGATCCCATGGTTCCATGATCCCATGATCCCATAACTCCATGCTCCCATGATCCTGTGATCCCATGGTCCCATAATCCCATGGTTCCATGATTCCATGGTCCCATGATCCCATGATCCCATGGTTCCATGATCCCATGATGCCATAACTCCATGCTCCCATGATCCTGTGATCCCATGGTCCCATAATCCCATGGTTCCATGATTCCATGGTCCCATGATCCCATAATCCTATGTTTCCATGATCCCATGATGCCATATCTCCATGCTCCCATGATCCTGTGATCCCATGGTCCCATACCCCCATGCTCCCATGATTCCATGGTTCCTGACTCCATGGTTCCATGATGTCCTGGTCCCATGATCCCATAACTCCATGACTTCACGATCCCCTGCTCTCATGATCCCGTAACTCCATGATCCTATAGCAACTCCAGGCCTCCACAGTCCCATGCTCCTGTGTATCCCATGCTCCCATGAGCCCATAACCCCATGCTCCCATAACCTCATGATCCCATAGCTCCATGCTCCCATCACAACTCCATGCCTCCATGATCCCCTGCTCCCATAACCCCATGATCCCATACCCCCATGCTATACAACCCCATGCTATATAACCCCATGATCCCATGCTATACAACCCCATGCTATACAACCCCATACCCCCATGCTATACAACCCCATGCTATACAATCCTATTCTATACAACCCCATACCCCCATGATATACAATCCCATGCTATACAATCCCATGCTATACAACCCCATGCTATATAACCCCATGCTATACAACCCCATGTTCCCATGCTATACAATCCCATGCTATACAATCCCATGATCCCATGCTATACAATCCCATGCTATATAACCCCATGCTATATAACCCCATACCCCCATGCTATACAATCCCATGATCCCATGCTATACAACCCCATGCTATACAACCCCATACCCCCATGCTATACAACCCCATGCTATGCAACCCCATGCTATACAACCCCATGCTATACAATCCCATGATCCCAGCTATAAACCCCATGCTATACAACCCCATACCCCCATGCTATACAACCCCATGCCACCCATGCACAACCCCATGCTATATAACCCCATACCGCCATGCTATACAACCCCATGCTATACAACCCCACACCCCCATGCTATACAATCCCATACCCCCATGATACACAACCCCATGATCCCATGCTGTATAACCCCATGCTGTACAACCCCATGCTATATAACCCCATACCCCCATGCTATACAACCCCATGCTATACAACCCCATGCTATACAACCCCATGCTATACAATCCCATGCTATACAACCCCATACCCCCATGCTATACCACCCCATGCTGTACAACCCCATGATCCCCCGCTGCCCCATCCCTCCTGTCCCCCCCTGCAGTACGAGGAGCTGCGGTCGGCGGCCGGGCAGCGCGGGGCCGATCTGCTCAGCACCCGCGGCCACATCCAGGAGCTGACCCGGCTCATCCAGCGCAGCCAGGCCGAGCTCGAGGCGCTGCGGGGCCAGGTCGGGGGGCAGCGGGGGCCCTGAGCTCGGCTGAGGGCAATGGGGTGCTGGGGGGCAATGGGGGTACAGGGGGCAATGGGGATACAGGGGTACAGGGGATGCTGGGGGGCAATGGGGGTACAGGGGGCAAGGTGATGCTGGGGGCAATGGGGGTACAGGGGATGCTGATGGACATGGGGGATGCTGGGGGGATAGGGGGATGGGGTGGGATGCTGATGGACATGGGGGATGCTGGGGGCAGGGGGTACAGGGGATGTGGGTGGGGTGTGGGTGGGGTGGGATGCTGGGGACATGGGGATGCGGGGGATGGGATAAGGGGATACAGGGGTACTGGGGATGCTGATGGACATGGGGGATGCTGGGGGGATACGGGGGATACAGGGGTACCAGGGATGCTGATGAACATGGGGGATGCTGGGGGCAGTGGGGCTACAGGGGATGCTGGGGACATGGGGGATGCTGGGGGAATGGGGGATACAGGAGATACTGGGGGCTACATGGATAGTGGGGGAATGCAGGAAGGTATGGGAATACTGGGGGGTATGGAGATACTGGGGGGTATATGGATACTGGGGATATGGGGATACTGGGAGGGTATGTGGGATACTGGGGGTAATGGGATACTGGGGGATATGTGGGATACTGGGGGTCTATAGATACTGGGGAATACAGAGGACATGGGAGGTGTGGGGTGTGTGGGATACTGGGACATGGAGGAGCATAGGGGGCAAGGGTGTGCTGTGGGGCACGGGGGGTGTGGGATGCTGGGGCATGGGGATACTGGAGCAGGGGGATGCTGGGGCAGAGGGATGCTGGGGCATGGGGATACTGGAGCAGGGGGATGCTGGGGCCGGGGGCGATGGGACATGGGGCTGTGGGGCGCAGGGTGAGGTGGGGCAGGGGCTGTGGGGCGCAGGGTGATGTGGGGCAGGGGCTGTGGGGCGCAGGGGTCCCAACCGGTGCCGGTGTCGCAGAGATCCAGCCTGGACTCGGCCATCGCGGAGGCCGAGGAGTGCGGGGAGCTGGCGGTGAAGGACGCCAGGGCCAAGCTGGAGGAGCTGGAGGCAGCCCTGCACAAGGCCAAGCAGGACCTGGCCCGGCAGCTCCGGGAGTACCAGGAGCTCATGAACGTCAAACTGGCCCTGGACATCGAGATCGCGACCTACAGGAAGCTGCTGGAGGGAGAGGAGAGCAGGTGAGGCACCGGGGACCCAAATCCTGCATCCCATGGGCATCCTATGAGCATCCTGCATCCCGTGGGCATCCTATGAGCATCCTGCATCCCATGGGCATCCTATGAGCATCCCGTGTCCCATGGGCATCCTATGAGCATCCCGCATCCCATGGGCATCCTATGAGCATCCCGCGTCCCATGGGCATCCTATGAGCATCCCGTGTCCCATGGGCATCCTATGAGCATCCTGCATCCCATGGGCATCCTATGAGCATCCTGCATCCCATGGGCATCCTATGAGCATCCTGCGTCCCATGGGCATCCTATGAGCATCCTGTGTCCCATGGGCATCCTATGAGCATCCTGCATCCCATGGGCATCCTATGAGCATCCTGCATCCCATGGGCATCCTATGAGCATCCTGCATCCCATGGGCATCCTATGAGCATCCCGTGTCCCATGGGCATCCTATGAGCATCCCGTGTCCCATGGGCATCCTATGAGCATCCCGCATCCCATGGGCATCCTATGAGCATCCCGTGTCCCATGGGCATCCTATGAGCATCCCGCATCCCATGGGCATCCTATGAGCATCCCGCGTCCCATGGGCACCCTATGAGCATCCCGCGTCCCATGGGCATCCTACGAGCATCCTGCATCCCATGGGCATCCTATGAGCATCCTGCATCCCATGGGCATCCTATGAGCATCCTGTGTCCCATGGGCATCCTATGAGCATCCTGCATCCCATGGGCATCCTATGAGCATCCTGTGTCCCATGGGCATCCTATGAGCATCCTGCATCCCATGGGCATCCTATGAGCGTCCCGTGTCCCATGGGCATCCTACGAGCATCCTGTGTCCCATGGCCATCCTATGGGCATCCTGTGTCCCATGGGCATCCCCGTCCCATGGGCATCCTACGAGCATCACATCCCATGGGCATCCCATGTGCATCTCATGTACCAGGGGCATCCCCCACCACACACCCTGCTTCCCACATCCCATGGGCATCCACATCCCACACCCTGCATCCTGTGGGTATCCCACATGTCATGGGCATCCCGCGTCCCATGGGCATCCCATGGGCATCCTACAAGTATCCTGCATCCCAAGGGCATCCTATGAGTATCCCGCATCCCACAGGCATCCCCTGCACATTTCATGTACCAGGGGCATCCCCCATCGCACACCCTGCATCCTGTGGGTATCCCACATGCCATGGGTATCCCTGTGTGCATCCCGTGTCCCATTGGCATTCACATCGTGTGGGCATCCCCCCTCCCACACCCTGCAGCCTGCATCTTACGGGCATCTCATGGGCAGCCTGTATCCTACATCCCATGAGCATCCTGTGGGCATCCCATTTCCCATTGGTATCCACATCCCATGGCCATCCCTCACCCCACATCTTGTATCCTATGGGCATCCCATGAGCGTCCCCCCTCCCATGGGCAGCCTGTAGCTTACATCCCATAGCCATCCTGTGGGCATCCCATGGGCATCCCATATCCCACATCCCACACTCTGCACTCCTCATCCCTTGGGTATCCCATGGGCATCCTTTGTTCCATGGGCATCCCACATCCCATGTGCATCCCATGTCCCATGGGCATCCCCAGTCCACATCCCACACCCTGCATCCTGTGGGCATCCCATGGGCACCCCATGAGCATCCCATGTCCATCACATGTAGGTGTCATATCCCCCATCACACAAGGGTGTTGTGTCCCCCCCCATTTATCCCATGTCCCCCCATGTGTCCCCCCCATATGTCCCATGTCCCCCCCCATTTATCCCATGTCCCCCCCATGTATCCCATGCCCCCCCTATGTATCCCATGTCTCCCCCCCTATGTATCCCATGTCCCCCCCATGTATCCCATGTTCCCCCCATTTATCCCATGCCCCCCCATCTGTTCCATGTCTGCAGGCTGGAGGTGGGGGTGCAGAACCTCAGCATCCACACCAAGCCCTCGGGATACTCAGGTAAGGTCCATGTCCCACTGCCCCCCCATAACCCGGTGCCCCCCCCCATATCCCACTCCCCCCCCATGTCCCTGTGCCCCCCCCATGTCCCCACTGCCCCCCCCATGTCCCCCCTGTCCCCCCCCTTTGCTCACGGGGTCCCTCTCCCCACAGGCAGCCTCGGAGGGGGCTTTGGGGGCTCCTCAGGGGGGGCCCCGAGCTTGCCGCTGGCGCTGCCCCCCCCCGAGCCCGCGGCGCCGGCCCCCCCGCCCCCCCGCGCCCGCGCCATCGTCATCAAGAAGATCGAGACCCGCGATGGGAAAACGGTGTCCGAGAGCTCGGACGTGCTCAGTGCATGAGGACCCCCCCATAGATCCCCCCATGGCACCCATGGACCCCCCATGGACCCCCCATGGACCCCCCCTAGACCCCCATGGACCCCCCCATGGACCCCCCATGGACCCCCCCCACCCCCCCCATGGACCCCCCATGGACCCTCATGGACCCCCCCATGGACCCCCCCCATGGACCCCCCATGGACCCCCCATGGACCCCCATGGACCCCCCCATAGACCCCCATGGACCCCCCCATGGACCCCCCATAGACCCCCCATGGACCCCCTCATGGACCCCCATGGACCCCCCCATAGACCCATGGACCCCCATAGACCCCCCTCTGGACCCCCTCATGGATCCCCCCATGGACCCCCCCCATAGACCCCCATGGACCCCCATAGACCCCCCCATGGACCCCCCATGGACCCCTATGGACCCCCCACAGACCCCCATGGACCCCCCCATGGACCCCCCATGGACTCCCCCATGGACCCCCCCAATCCGTCCTGCTCCCCCTGGTGTCCCCATGGGAGCTGTGGGGTGGGAACTGGGGAGCCTTGAGTGCTGCAATAAAGCCTTGGAGATGAAGAGAGAGCTGGTTTGGTGCTGGGGTTCATCCGGGGTGCTGGGGTCCCTATTGGGGTGCTGGGGTCCATCCATGGTGCTGGGGTCCCTATTGGGGTGCTGGGGTCTATCTGGGGTGCTGGGGTCCCTATTGGGGTGCTGGTGTCCATCCATGGTGCTTGGGTTCCTATTAGGGTGCTGAGGTCCATCCATATTGCTGGGGTCCCTATTGGGGTGTGAGGATGCATCCAGGGGTAGCTGGGTCTCTCCTGGGGTGCCAGGACCCATCCTGAGGATCCATCCTAGGGTGCCAGGAGCCCCCTTGGGGACCCAGGTCCACCTTGGGTGCTCAGACCCACCCCAGGGTGCCAGGGATCATCTTGGGATGCCAGGCTCCATCAGGAGGTACCAGGCCCCATCCTGATGACCCACATGCCAGGATTCCCACCTCGCTGCCGGGACCCATCCTGGAATGCTGGGATCTAAATTGAGGTGCCAGGACCCATCCTGGATCCATCCTGGATCCACCCATCCATTGGCCATCCATTCATCCATTCATTCATCAACCAACCATCCATCCATCCATCCATCATCCATCCATCCATCCATCCATCCATCCATCCATCCATCATCCATTCATTATCCATCCATCCATCCATCCATCATCCATCCATCCATCCATCATCCATCCATCATCCATCCATCCTCCATCCACCCATCCATCCATCCATCATCCATCCATCCATCATCCATCCATCATCCATCCATCCATCCATCTCCATCCATCCATCATCCATCATCATCCATCATCCATCCATCATCATCCATCCATCCATCATCCATCCATCCATCCATCCATCATCCATCCATCATCCATCCATCCATCCATCCATTCACCCATTCACCCATCATCCATTCAGCCCTCCCAAACCCCCAAATCTCCCAACCCCATCCCATGGGAGCAGGATCCAGCCTCTGATGATGGTCACACATAACCCAGTGGCAAAGTCCCTGTTGGCTTTATCCCTCTTCCCAAATGGGATCCCATTCATGCAGCCCCCAAGGGGAACACCCCAGGGCCCCCCCATAAACCTTCCTCAACAGAAATTCCTCCTTGTCCCCACCAAGGGGGTGGAAAATCCCACTGAACACCCCCTCCATACAGCATTCCCAAGGCTGGATCCCAATGGAGGGGCTGGGACCCCCAAACTGCGTGGCTTCATCCCTCTGGATTAGAGGGTATGAAGGGGGCTCCCCTCCCTTTGGGGTGAGTTGGGGTCTCTGTGGCCCCACTTTTGACACACAGCCCCATGGACGGGGGGCTCCCGCGGCATTCCCGGAACATGGAAGTAAAAGGTTCCCACAGTTTTCCTCGCTGGGCTCAACCCTCGTACGAGACACCAGAGAATCTCCCGGGGCTGAGCCTCGGGCTCTGGGTGGAGGAGGGATGGGTGGGAAGGCAGTCTGCATCCCGAAGGGAGTCTGGGCCTGGGGGGATACTGCTGGGTTCGTCCCATAGACACACTATAGACACGTCACAGGCATCCCATAGACACCCATACACACCCCATAGACATTCCACAGGCACCTCATAGACACCGAATGGACATCACACAGACATCACATAGACACCTCATAGACATCCCATAGACACCTCATAGACATCCCACAGGCACCTCATAGACAGCCCATAGACATCCCATAGACACCCCATAGACATCCCGCAGGCACCTCATAGACACCCCATAGACATCACACAGACATCACATAGACACCCCATAGACATCCCATAGACACTCCACAGGGACGGGGGATGGATGGATGGATGGATGGATGATGGATGGATGGATGATGGATGATGGATGATGGATGATGGATGAATGATGGATGATGGATGGATGATGAATGGTGGATGGAGGATGGATGATGGATGGATGAATGATGGATGATTGATGGATGATGGATGGATGATGGATGATGGATGGATGATGGATGATGGATGATGGATGGATGGATGGATGATGGATGGGTGATGGATGGATGGATGATGGATGGATGATGGATGATGGATGGATGGATGATAGATGATGGATGGATGAATGATGGATGATGGATGGATGATGGATGAATGATGGATGATTGATGGATGATTGATGGATGATGGATGATGGATGATGGATGATGGATGATGGATGATGGATGATGGATGATGGACACCCCCCGCTCTCCCCATACCGATGTGTTTTGTTTCCTGCCTTTCCCCCTTCGGTTCCAGCAGCTCCAGCACTTCCCGACCCCGCTTCCCGTCTCCATTCCCGGTCCGGGGGCTCCCTCTGCCGTCCGCTGCCATTACCGCCCATTAACGCGCTCCAAGACGAGGGTCCCACTCCCTGCCCCCATTCCCAGCCTTGCACCCCCTTTTCTCCCCCCCTCCCCATTTCCAAGCCCCCCCCTCCTTCCCGGGGTTCAGTTTTGGGGGGTCCCTTTGCCACCCCTCGGGTTTTGGGGCTCTTGGGTCGCTTGGGGGCAGCAGAGGAGCGGGAATGGGAGCAGCGATTGGGGGGGGGGGGGTGTTTGGATATTGGGGTTCCCGCCCTCCCCAGTGGGAAACTGAGGCACGGGGGGTGCTGGGAGGGGTCTGAGCCCCCAATGAGGTAGAATGGGGGGAGTTGGGAGCATTGGGGGGGGCGGAACACGGGGGAGGGTTCGGGAGGACTCGAGGGGTCCCCCTCCCTTTTAATGCATCCCCCCCACTGGGTGCTGTTCTAAGTACCCCAGAAGAGGGCACCCCAACCCTGCGCACCAATGGGTGCTGTTCTATGGGGGGGACACCCATGGGTTCGCTGTCGCCTTCCCCAAGGGACCGGGGGGGGGGAGCACGGGACCCCCCCCAAAGCGATGGGACCTGAAGCCCCATTTCATTCTCTGTGAGGCCCCCCCACATCCAGCACCACCCCCCCCAACTGCTCCCAGCAGCCCCCCAAGTTTCGGGGAACCCCAAAACCCGGGAGGTCGGGTAGGGGGTGTCCAGGACTCCTGCCCCCTAAGGGGTTGTTATGGGGCTCCCTGCCCCATAGGGGTTATTATGGGGGTCCCTGCCCATAGGGGGGTTGTTAAGTGGGTCCCTGATCCAAAAGGGGTTTTTATCGGGGTTCCTGCCCCATAGCGGGGTTGTTATGGGGGTCCCTGCTCCATAGCAGGGTGGTTAAGGTGGTCCCTGCCCCATAGGAGGTTGTTACGGGGGTCCCTGCCCCATAGCGGGGTTGTTACAGGGGTCCCTGCCCCATAGGGGTATTAAGGGGGTCCGTGCCCCATAGCGGGGTTGTTACGGGGGTCCCTGCCCCATAGCGGGGTTGTTACGGGGGTCCCTGCCCCATAGCGGGGTTGTTACGGGGGTCCCTGTCCCATAGCGGGGTTGTTATGGGGGTCTTTGCCCCATAGGGGTGTTAAGGGGGTCCCTGCCCCATAGCGGGGTTGGCCCCACCCCGGGCGGGTCCCGCAGGCCCGGACCTGCCCCGTCCAACGCCCGTCATTAGCGGCGGGGCCGGAGCCGCCCCAAGCGCAGCGCTCGGAGTTTCACATCACACCCAGCGCGGGGGGGGGGGGGCAAACCCAACCCCCACCGACCCCTCGACCCCCCGACCCCCAGCCCCCCCCGACCCTGCCCACAGTGAAGCATCCCCAAACCGAGGGCATCCGGATGCGGGGGTCCATGGGTCACCGGGAGCCCCCAAAGGGGGTGCTGGGGGTCCCCCCCCTGCTGGTGGGCCCCGGGTGGGTGACCCCCGTGGGGAGGGGTTGGGGGGGGTTCTATGGGGCTGGGGGGGTTGGTTCAGCTCCTGGAGCGTTGGTGCCCTATAGAGGGTGCTGTGCAGTTATGGAGCTGAGGGAGCATGGGGCGGAGGGAGAGAGGAGGGAGGGATGGATGGATGGATGATGGATGGATGGATGGATGGATGTTGGATGGATGTATGGATGGATGGATGATGGATGGATGGATGGATGAAGGGATGATGGATGGATGGATGATGGATGATGGATGGATGATGGATGAAGGGATGATGGATGGATGGATGGACGGATGGATGGATGTTGGATGGATGGATGGATGGATGTTGGATGGATGGATGGATGGGTGGATGGATGGATGATGCTTGGACAAAAAGACAAATACTGGCTGCTGCACTTTGAGTGAGCTTCTCACCCAACACCCCAAGTCCTCCTCCTCCATGTCACCCTGATCCCAATGGCTGGATGTCCCACGTCACCCACGATCCAAGGCTGGATGTCCCATGTCACCCATGATCCAGGTCTGGATGTCCTGTGTCACCATGGGACCCATGTCATGATCCAGGTCTGGATGTCCCGTGTCACCCATGATCCGGGTCTGGATGTCCCGTGTCACCCATGATCCGGGTCTGGATGTCCCATGTCACCCATGATCCAGGTCTGGATGTCCTGTGTCACCATGGGACCCATGTCAT